GGCGTGGCTAGATCCGAACAAGAGGCGTGGGTCGCAGGGTCATGCCACGTGTCCCAACATCTTGCCTCTAAGCAATGCGTCGTGGCTGGTAGCATTTCTGGTGATGGTTATGGTTGCCGTATCTACTAGTGTGCCCGATGGTTAGAATGGGATATGAATATAGGACACTCGCCGCCATCAGAACGCACAAAGAATAAAAAAGTTACAAGAGAGAACATTATTTCCTATTAGATAATGCTTATTGGTGGACTTGTTGACAGTGCTAGTCAATCTAATGCTAACTCCTGATGGATGGATTGCCTTCATAAAAACAAGCCATCAATGGATGCTCAGTTAAAAATCTTATTTAAAAAGATACCGACGAATGAGATAACATAGCTTCACCATTGCTTCAGTCCACTCGATTTGACTCAATGCTACTACGAAGTTTCACATTGCAAGGATGAATGCCTGTGGGCAACCGACTCGAACCATGCCGGTTCTAAAGAAGGCAGGAACGCCGAGACGTTAGCGGAATAGAAATTCGGCAATAATATCGTGCTAGCTTGTCAGTAAAACGAGACAATGATTATTCATGCCGATGTTAAACGAAAGTCGGTTAACAAAAGTACATTGGACAGAAGCTATGAAGATCCCTTCCGTCATCCTTCTTAGGCAAAATTGCGTTGTGTTTATTCTTCTCCATCGGCCTGGATTCCTTCGTTTTACAAATATCTCGAATGTAGGTTTTGGAAAACGTGTGCGATTTCTGGTTTCCATTTCTAAGCACTGCAGCGAAGGATCCAGTACGCTACTTCCCAGAGGATGTTTTAGGGTTCGGGACGGGGATTATGGAACGAGAATGGTTGGTGTAGAACTTTTGCGTTGCCAATTCCATATTACAATAGAAAGTTCCAGTGAGATCTTCGTTCCTGAGGGCTGACAGCAGAACATTATACTCGCACGAGTTTCAACGGCATTTCTTCAGACTGGTTCTTTTCTGTTCTGCTTCGAATAGTTTCTTTTGCCTATGCCAGTATACCTTCCTGCAAATATCATCGGAAGCTGGTATTTATTGTCAAACGTAGCTGTAGTCGAATCTAGCTCCTGTTCTCTTCTCAAGCAACCTGTTAGTAACAGCGATGCGATCCGAACTTCTTCTTCAAGGAATAAGGCGTGCTCGGCAAAGCTTTCACTCTTTCGCCGAGTAGGTTTAGGTTTGTTTAGCTCACTCTTAATCGGCTAGTTATTTAAACAAAAAAAAATTTTTTCAATCATGTTCCGCACGTGCACGACTTGTTTTTTTTTCTTGGAACAACCAGAGCACTTATTTAATGTTTGCTTGAACAAGATCTCCACATGGAAAAGACGGTTGCCGGATGATTCAATATGTAATGATGTCACTACGAGGATTTGAAAGCATTACTATGTTGTATTCATTAGAATTTGATTAATGTCGGTATGAAACGTTCCTACAGAAAACTGCTATGTCCAACGGCCAACGGCTCTCCTACAGAAGACTGCTTTGTCCAGAAGATTGCTTCTTTCACTACGATCACTCGCTCCAACTGATTACTACTTGGTTGGATACTTGCTTCACTGGTTGTGCGGGCCCTAGCATAATTTTCATTTTTTCGGAGTTCTGCTGGTTTATTCATTATGGTTCCCTAGAGTCCTAAGGTCAACCTAACCAAAGTCTGCCACAGATCGTGTCCAGCGCAGGTAGTCGCTGTCCTTGTGGATCAGAAGACCAAGCGACAAGTTTGGTATGAACACGGTGGTGGAACTTGGTATGGTTTACTCTTAAGTAGGCTTCCTGATGGAGCAACCGGACTCCTTATCAGCTTGGGAGGCCCGGCTGGGTGATGAATCCCCATTGTACATCGCAGCCCAAAATCCAGCATCACCTCCTCGCCACGATGAGGCGGTAAACCGCTCGGAGGTTAAGGGATTATTTCACGCATTTAATCCGCTTCTATCACTTGGACCTGTTACAATGCGCTTAAATATTATCGATTCCATTTCCTTCATTTTATGCCCAACAGATGATTCCATTCAAATGGAGCAACATCTGGTTAACAGTGTCAACACAAAGAGCACGTGTCGTAAACTATTTCCTCAGCTAATAGTGAATTTTATTACTTGCAATAGTAGCTGCTATAATCCACAAATATTCGTCTCCAGTTTCCTTGTTTTACCGCGATGAAGTTCCAATTCCCTGGAGCCAATGACATATCTTTCTTCCACGTTATTGTTTTAAGAGTTGTATTTTGAGCAGGTGAGGAATTTCGTCCATCATGACGTAGTGGCATTCGCCACTGCATCGCTCGCTTACGGTTGCAGCTATGGCTCTTCCGTTGAAGACTGAAAAAACTTAAACTTCGTCAAAAATCTTCTATTGGATTTTTTTAACTCTAAAAAGTATTAGGTATGCGTGAAGTGTATACATACGCGGGGATTAAGCAAATAAGAGTAACTGAACGTCTCGAAGGTAAAGTTGTTAATCTCACGTTATCTCTCGCTACTCTTCGATAAAAATGATTTTATAAGGCATAAGCGATCTTAACATAGTTGATACCTGGGAAAACGTCGAAGTGACTCTATTTGGATGAAACTTATTCATACGAGATACTCGATCTATGTTGTAAAGGATTAGAAGGATAAAGCTCTCGGTGTTGATCAATCCCTGAATCGATATATCGAGCCAGTGCTGCTATCCTCCCAGACAAGTCTAGGACAAATTTGCTAACCTCGGACGGTTTGAGGGTTTGGTGAGCCAAGAGGGCACAAAGATGGATCCCATCTGTATTGCATAGTCCCTCCGATCACAGCGCTACACGCGTCAATTTTGATGATCTATGAGGTATACCTATGTAGACACGCAAATTCAACTAATTTTAGAAAAGTAGCTGGCCACGAACAGTTAATTTCGTCATGGCAACACTTTATAACCGCACATTCAAGGCGAACTTCATCGTATTCTTACGTAACCGATTTGTGAAATGTGAATTTCAGGACGCCAACAGGATTCTTAATGTTGGGAGCTCAGAAATCGAAGTGAACTCGGTCGACGTCACATTTCACAGGACTAGTCTCTCTGCCGATGCCCTTAACAGTACTCTTCAGCCTCATAATAATGTGACAGTCTTTAAATGAAATGTCAGTTATTTGGTAGGACTTTCTTTACAAGGTGCTCTTACTTTAAAAGTCTTGTCATGAACACCACTCTTTTAGTTCATGCCAATTGCTTGTCGGTGAGCAAAAGGACGTTGATGGTGAAGCAAACAATAATAACGTCCTAATTTTTATTCAGTGCCTATTCTTCTTTCACGGCATTGCACGTTTGTGATTGCTGAGTTCCGATAGAGTAAAACCATAGCTTAAGAGGCAACCAAATGAGCGGTCTCAGTTCGTGTAGTGGATTGCACGTGAGCTCCTGATAAGGCCAATCGCGGGCTCGAATCCCAACCGTGGTAACCAATTTTGCTCATACTTCAGCATCCCTATGGTTGCATTTTTGCACAGATATTAGTAAATTATGGCTGTTTTATATGGCAGAAAATCTTCTAAGAATGGTTCACCACCTCATCGTAGGTGTCAGATCTTATGATGTGAAACCTCGATGTTCAATAGCAGATTCATTCCTCCAACAGGGCTTTCTGAGTCAGTAAGAAGTCCGACATTATCATCCGTGAATTCAGCTGTGAGTAACGCTATGACACAGCAGTGTCCTGCAAACCATCCATATCCACCTTCTCACCAAAGTCGATAGCATTCAAGGGCCTTGTAAAACCTGGTACTCGCTTTGTCCCTCGAGCAAGCTGAGTTTACCCGACGAGTGAGATTGACGGAATTCCGAAACAGGATTGGATACGGTAACAAATGATTACCAGTTACTGTATAGTATGAGGACTTACGAAGTGGTTTGTGGTAATGTATCACATGGTCCGATAAAGCCACTGTTATGCTACAAGGAGTCACAACACTCTTTGTTGTATACAGAAATCTGTCGTTTACCTTACAGTTACGAAGGAAATGGGTTATCCTGGACCACAAACCACGAGAATCCCTGGCATTTTTGGCCAGCCCCGAACGCACCACGCGGCGACCGCGGTTCGCAAGTCAACTTGTGAGCGTCGGCTCTTAAACACAACTGATACGCAGTGAAACTCGTCGCGTCGGTTCTTAGCCCGGTTCGTTTGAACTCGTCCCTTTTGCCTAAAATTCCTCGACGCCTGTTCATCGCTTTCCGAAATTTTTTTTCTTTTCATTCCTATTGATTGGTAGTTTTTGGGTTTATTTTCGCTTACTGGGGTTATCTAGTACATCAGAGATCTAAAATGTAGCTGACATTAAAGATCTAGTGGTCGTTCTCTTTAATGTTGTTTTCTTCGTCAGTGTTTGTCAATTTTGGGGGTGGTGAAGTGGTTTTATAACGTATTTTGTTAGAATGTGATGTTTTTGGTAGTTCCGAACAGACTTTCCTGTGCACTTACTGAGAATAGGTTTCTCGGTAGGGTGGGTCACTAACATCTGCCGCTCTTAGCATGGAAACTTGAATTAAATATGCTTAAGAGGATTTAGAATAAAATACCCTTTGTCGTTTTCTGGAAACTATCCACGATTCCACTCATTAGTCACTCGTGGTGGAGAAACATCGGGAATGCATTCGACTTGATGATCGATACTAATAAATTCAGCATCTACCCAGTAACCCTTTGGCGTTTTCTGGAAACTATCTACGATTCCTTTCATTAGTCACTCGTGGTGGTGAGACATTGATAAATTCTTTCGATTTGATGATCGATTATAATAAATTCAGCATCTGCCTACTACTGCATTAATGGAATTGTCGAAATTGTTCTCTTAAGGCCGAATATATAAAGTGTAAAATGTCGGAAAAAGTCGGAAGATTGGCATAGAGGTGCAGCAGCATCGCCTCGCTTTTGTTCATGCTGAGTTCAGACTCGGCCACTGTTTTTGTATGGCTCTCTACAATTTCTCTGAATATATTGTTTTAGGAAGAGTATTGGCTCGCACATTTTTGGGAAAATTATCCCGTAAGTGCCAAACATATTCCAGAACATCGCTCAGAACGTCTACGATGGATCTGCAATGTTTCCATCAGGTGATTCTGCACATGCAATCTGCTAATAACGCAGAACGGGATGAAGCCGAAGATGTGTACAACAAAATGGAACTCGCCCCGAAGGCATCGCTGCTATTCTCCCTGTATTGTACTGCAGATGCTCCATTCGAGGTACTACTTTCGTGTAACCACAGCTCTATAAGTACTAAAAGTCTTTTTGTTTTCATTTCTAAACAGCAGTTTCTTCTCTGGCCCTATATAGTTCAGTGCAAATGTCAAAAATGAAAAAGCAAATAATCTTGTCAGGGAAGAACTTAGTTTGAAAATGGAGTTTATTGTGGGGTTGTGATTTGTTGATGTTTTTATCTGACTCCAATGCACCGGTATGTATGACTTTCATTATTCCTGTGGAGGTAATTTTAGAGTATTCAAGAAATAGGTAATTCTGGGTTCCTGTGGAAATTTGCTCGTGTGGCGTAGTAGCAAATTTAGAAAATAGAGATCTAACTAGATTAAGGTTTTTCTCAAAATGCTTAAATTCCAGGGTTTCTCAGATACAAACAGGCAATAAAGTGGGCGCCACTTACTGGTTTTTAGATATCATTGAGCGGTTTGAAAATGCTGTAGTCAAAGAGATAGCTGGTTTGTCTGTGTGCGTGCGTTCTTTTCCATGCTAGGCTACTCCATATGTTTTGCCTTGTGGACAGGTTCTATTTAGTGTTGTAATAGCCCTATCTTCATATTTCGTGGCAACATTTACTTGATTAGAAAAAGATTCTACGTGCGGCCAATTTTTTTCCGGGACAAAGACAATGGCTTACATTAGTCTACACTTGACTAGGCTTCCAACTCAGTGGGCCTCTCTTCTTCTCACCTTAGGTAATCTTCACGGGGCAGAGCTGAGGACTGTACATCGGAGACCAGCACTCCAAAGCTGTGAAGAGATAAATCATAAAGGGCGAGATGGTTTTTTTAGGAATTGTTCGTGCGAGGTTGTGGCATAGGTACTTGGTATATTGTACTGTAATTCTAGAAACGTTAGTGAAAATTGTGTATTGCCTACTAAAGTTCGGTATGGAACCGATCTTTAGAACGCAGTGGTAGAATTCAATCGTATTTCCTCAAAAGTTTTCAAGCTTGTTGTATTGAAATCGCTTTCCGACTAATATGAGGAATATATTTAAACTTCTCCGTTTACGCACCATCGGAACTAAAGTAAAATGGAGTTAGATAATCGTAATAATTTTGTGGGTTTCCTTTATTATTATTATGACTCATGTTAGGTTCCATTACAGTCTCGAACGATGTGTCTTATTCTTCTTCGTCGACTGTTGTCGAATTGTTGGACGAAATTGTGGGAGGATCTGGGCGCGAATCAAAAGAGCTTTACTGATCAAGTGAAATATTTTGTTTCATACTTTCATGGTTATTTCCTCTGCTGATGTGCATTGCTTAGCTTATAAATATGGTAATGACTGAACCTGATGGACGACTGCGTAGAAAACTTCTTGCAGTTGTTTCAGAGGCTGCGCGTTATACGGTCGGTAAGTAAATGGGACGTTTATCAATTTTTTTTTTGATGTTTCCTTGCCTTTAATAATCTTTTCCAGATGATGAGACGGGTAAGCAAAAATGGGTCGAGTTGATTCAGTTCCTTGAACACTGTATGTCTAGCGATAACGTTACCGAGATTGAATATATTGTGATCCTATTGGAGTATGTTGTGCTTTTCTTCGTTTTAGTGACAATAAGTAAGTGGAAGCTATGAGTATTGTGTCGCTTTTTAGATCTGTACCTAACATCTTTGGTGTCGATCAAGACCATTACATTCCTCGTATAAAGGTTTGCTTTATACCCTGTATCGATGTTTTTTTTCTCAAGTTTAAGAATTTGTCACTGTTTGAGGGTTGTGAAATAACTTTTTTGTTTTCGAAAGGCACGAAAAGATTATACATGTAAACCTAGTTTCTTTGTTTTCGCAAAGATCGCTCTTTAGCACTTTTCTAGTGTATGAGTATTGAGGGAAAATTGTGATAGCGTTGTCTTGCTCTTTATTTATTTCTCTCAGCTTTTTTAAAGAAACTGTATCGAGCGCGGTCTTCCATACCCAACATGTTTTTTCGGTGTATCAGTGTAAGATTTGCACTATTTCGAAACAGAAAGTAGATTTACACAATGTTTGCTCAAGAAACGGATTTCAGGAATCGTTTTCCACATTGCTCAAAAATGAGAGACCTGAAATTCGTTCATCTGCATTCAAAGCTTACGTAACATTCGTTATCGAGAACGAAGATGATAATCATCTTGTGAGGGAGATGTCGTCATTAATGCCACTAATTGTTGAGGTAAGAAGTGTATTCCGCATTGTGATGTTTTATCCATATCATTGCCAATTTTTTTTGTAAGGGTATGTTTACGTATGTATATATATATATATGCATTATATATACATACATAGATATACATATATGTATGTATATATATACATATATGCATACACGTAATCTAGTTTTTGTACAAAGAAAACCTCCCCCCAATTTATTTTGAAATGTTAAAGACGCTAGAAACTCGGTATGAGATTTGTTTTTTCTCTTCAGGTGGAACATTTAAGTCTAAGTTTATGTGGCTAAATAAAAATTCACAGATTTGGTGATTTATTACCAATCTAATTTTCAATTTTTTTGTTTTCTAGTATCACTATGTTATCAATTCATTTCTGTGGTGATAGGTTTGTCGCTATGCGTGCACCCATAATCATGGCGACGACTCACCACTGCAATGCCTTTGCGATCTCGAGACCGCTATGCCTAAACTTGTGAATCCCTATCTTTCAAGTTTCTTGGAAATGTGTATTGAGGTGACATCTTTAAAGGCCATTTCATACTATATATTATACTTTTCACTACTTTTTTGTTACATAGTGCGTACTAAACGTCGAGAAAGATGAAGCCTATCGTCACTCTGCCACTGAGGTTTTAGCGACGATCTGTGAACGTTCAACAGCTGTTCTTAAGAAGCGCTATTCACAGAGTATCTTCTTCATATGTAAGTTTGGTGTCTTCTGTTATAGTTCTACAGAAGGACGGTTTATAGTTTATTTCTCATTAGCATATGACAAGAATTCGGACAAGTCCTGCATTACTTAGGTTTTGGTAAATCCATAACTAATCCAGAATATGACGTCGGATCGCTTAAATATCTTCGGAAACCTGTTTATAAGGAGACGACTTTTTAGAATATGACTACATATGAAATCTACATTAGGTTTAAATGCTTTCCTTCATTGTGATTAGTCAGAGAAGTATGTTTGAAACATCAATAAGTCTGAAGCGTTTTTTTTCAGTAATCTGTTGAGTTAGAGAATCCGTATTTCGTGTTTCAATCTCTCTCCGTTTAGTGAAAGCCCTACTGTTGCTTATGACTGAATTAACAATGGATCTCAGCGATTGGTTAGCAGTGGACGAAGTGGATGCGGATGATGATGAGGAGTACGTTTTAACAGATCTTCGCTCGTTTTTTAACATGTGTGCGATGACGCCTAATTTTGTGGGCCTAACCATGAGACGTCTAATTTTAGGCTGTTAAAGAGCTGGTTTTTTTTTATAGTAAATGATGTTTTTTTCCGATAACTAGAGGACTTGAGCAGTAGGGAACATGACAAGATTGTAGAGGTAACCTTACTATATCGGTCGGTAGGCATAATTGGAACGTTTTGCAGCTTATTTTGAGTCTTTCTGCAGTCTTCGTAACTGCCTATTCCATGAGATAACTGTGATTCATTGTAACTGTTAGAATTGAAATACCAGTCAATCGCCAGTGAAATTAGCGGTCAGTGAAGTCGTTCGAGGAATGATTTCTGTGTATTTCCATGTGCAGACCAGAGGTTTTATCGATCGATTATCGCCACAACAGATTTGCAGAAGCTATCGAGTGATTACAAGAAATGGGGAAAAGGCTTACTAACGCCAAAATAAACCATTAGAAATAAGGTAACCTCAAAAGAGATTATACCGGCCACAATGTTTTCCTACAAGTAACACTTATAGAGGTCAAGTCGTCGCGAATATTTTAATAGTCATTTAGTATTATATCAGAGGTATATTAGTGATGTTTCTAGTACTGTTGCCATTGGTGAATCAGCATTGGATAGAATCGCTTGTGTGCTAGGTGGAAAATATATCTTGTCTTCTTTTGTTGCTTTAACAGGAAAGCTACGTCGCTCAGGTCAGTTGTCCAGTATACAAAACAATTTGCGCATTTGTGGATTCTGTACTTTTCTCAATTTTTTGTGCTCAAGAGGAATGGCAAGAACGACATGTCGCAGTAATGGGTTTCTCGGTGATTGGGGAGGGTTGTCAACGTGTGATGGAACCACAAATAGATCAAATCGTTAGGGAAATTTTGCCATTCTTAGACGATAAGGTACAGTCTTGAATATTGAAAAGTACCTGCTTCTTTTTAAATTTTATTGGATTTTCTTTCTTAGCATCCACGTGTTCGCTATGCTGCTTGCAATGCCTTAGGACAAATGTCTTCAGACTTTGCTCCAGCGTTACAGAAAAGATGTCACGAATTGGTATGGCTATTACTTGTTCTTATTTATAGGGTAACGCCGAAGACATTTAACATCGGGTTTCGAAGTGATCAAAATTTTGCCAGTTGCTTCCATGGAAGATGTTTCTGCATATCAAATTACCCTAATACAATGACTTACAGGTTGTTCCTGCTTTGATGGCTACAATTCTTGACGTTTCTTGTGATCGTGTATCAGCGCATGCTGCTGCTGCTCTAATAAACTTTTGTGAAGATTGTCCAAAACAGGTGGTCGTACATTTTCTTCTTTGCTGCTATTTTATGCTTTGGTTTTTCTGGTTTTTAACGTTCTTGATACCTACTTCCGGCAAGTGTTGTCCTTAATGTTGCAGATAATATCTGCCTACCTTCCTGCTATCGTCAATGGGCTGGAGCAGGCATTAGGCAATGCTTATGGCTGTTTGCAATCCGTTGGAAAAAAGTTACGCTGCGAACAAGTTAGAGTCTTAGCTTTTGCGTAAAGTTTCTTTCATGTGGTTTACCTTTTTTATATGTTTTCTTTAACCGGAAACGCAAGGAAAGGAACTAGCTCTTCGAAGGTTCTGTTTGTCCTTTGTTCTTATCTATATTTTTTTCTCAACACTGACTGTTCAGATAGTTACTGCTATAGCATCAGTTGCTGACGCTGCTCAGGACCTGTTCGTTGAATTCTATGATCGTTTGGTTCCTAACCTCAAATATATTCTTTTAAATTCGACTGCTGACAAGTATAGGGTATCCTCACTTTCTTTTTTTCGCACTCACTTTTTACTTTTATTCTTTTTGTTTCATATATCTTTATTTGATCGGTAATTACTAAGATTCTTCGTGGGAAAACCTTGGAGTCTCTGTCGCTGATTGGTGTTGCCGTAGGAAAGGAGAAATTTCATAATGATGCGATCGCAATCATGGATTTAATGCGCGATTCAATGCCTTCCGTAGCTACCGATCACCCTGAATACTCGTATTTGGTTTGCAGTTGGACACGTATATGCAAGGTGTGGGATTTTTTCGTCTGGTTTAAAGTTTTTTTTTCTTTCAGCCCGTTTCACGAGGTATTGTTTCCATTGTTGACAGTTGCAGGTACTGGGTAAGGAGTTTTCACCGTATCTACCTATGATTATGGGCCATGTTTTACAATCCGCTGCCTACAAACCTGAAGTGGCTGTTGTAGAAGGTTGATTATGTTTCATGCTTATTCAGTCATTTCTTGTTGAAACGTTTGATTTAATTTTATTGTTTTTCTTTTATAGAAGATCAATATGATAAGGGTGATCCGGCTTGGTCATACCACTCTGTGGGCGATAACAAGAGTTTCGGTATACGTACTGCAGGACTCGATGAGAAATCCGATTCATGCGCTATGTTGGTTTGTTACGCTAGAGACTTGGAAGGTTCGTGAAAACAATTGGAATTTATGCAATAATGCATCAATTGAAGATACGAATTTTAGGAATTCTTGTTGTTTATTAAATGTTTCAGCGAAAGATTTCGTTTTTTACGCTTTATTAACTATTTTTGTTTGCTATGAAGTTCAGAATAAAGTCAGGAGGATGTACAAAATTTATCCTGAGACTCTATCCGGTGCCGAAATCGCCTTTTATTTGCTCTAAAATCAGTACATGCTTTTCGTCTAATTGTATAAGCCAGATCAAAAAATCAGATTTTGAGGAAACACTGAGTGTGTTTATCGTAGTCGCTGAACCATGTGGATTTTCATTTTTCCTACTGTTATGCTAGTCAAAAGTTTTTTGATATTGCAGTGATGACACCAAATAATATCATTGTAGAGGAATTCCTGCCATATGTGAACGATGTTGCGAAATTGTCAATAGAAAATTTGCGTTTTCTATTTGTTGATAGTGTTCGGTGCTCTGCTGCAGAGACGTTGCCGTGGTTGTTGAAATGCGTCAAAGGCCAGGTGAGGTTTCGTGACTTTTTAGAGGTTTCACCACTAATTATTTACAACACTTGGTCATAATTTAAGGGTATAGAGGCCATGCGACAATTATGGTTAGAATTCTTCCCAGCTATTTGCTCTGCAGTAGACACCGAAAGTGAACTGGAGGTAGTTGAACGTCTTATGGATTCTCTTGCTGAATGTGTTCTTCAGTTTCGTACTGGGGTAGGAATTTACAATTTTTCCTGTTGTCACATTTTTCCTTTTATACTTTTAAATAATGCTTTTCCAAAGGATTTCATTGTTCAGGGTTTGACCAATGAGGACATCGAGAAAATCGTTGAGGTGTTAGCCCAACAGCTCAAAAAGCATGAAATCAGGAGAGTGGATGCTGAAGCTGAAGCGGCGGAAGAAGTAGACTCTTATGATTTCTTATCCACCACAATGTGGGAGAAGCGAGTTGTGTTTTTTCCTCAGGATGCTGATCCGGACGATATGAGAGAGAAATTGAGTGAGGAAGCAGAGATGGAAGGCGAAATGCTTGCTCGTTTCTCTGACCTTATCCATAACATGTTTGAGGTAGGATACAATAGAAATCTGACTAATTAGATAACTATTGCGAATTTATTGTTCCACTTAAGACTGTGGGAGAGCGCTTCTTTGACTACATAGAACCACTTGTGCCAGAATTTCTGCAGCTTATTGATATTCGACGTGCCTATCCTTCACGGCAGTATGGTGTTTGCTACATTGATGACTGCATAGAATTCGCGCCAAAGGTATGCTTTCATTACTCGTTGGGAGTCGGTTAGTAGTACATTATATGCGTAGTGCTCTTTACATTACTCAGCGTTACGGTGTGCTAAGTAAGTACCTTACACAAAATTTACATTTCAGAGATGTGCGAAGTATCAGGAGCAATTCGTTCCTCTCATGCTTAGATGCCTTACGGATGACTATCCCGAGGTAAGACAAGCTGCCGCGTATGGATTCGGAGTAATGGGTATGGTTGGTGGGAACGAGTACTTAAATACCGTGACGAATGCACTTGAACCTCTTGCCGCAATGGTGAGCAGGTAAGCTTTCTTCAACAAATAAATGTGTTTGTTTTACAAATTGTGTGTACTTCATATTTCTAGCCCAGACGCGAGGTCGACTGAAGAGAGCTCCGGAGCTACTGACAACGGTATTGCCGCTGTAGCGAAAATTTTAAAATACTCAGGAGCCAATATTGATGTTGCACAAGTAGGCGGTTGGATTTCAAAGATTTTTTTCTACAACTCTGGTGAACTACAGAAATGCCCCCCATTGCCATGTAGCTCTGATGTTCGCTCTACTACCAAATTTAGTGTTTGTTTAAGCAGCGATCTAGTCGCATTTCTTTACGGCATACACTTCATGCAGTTCCAGTGACTGAAAAACTTCTTTAGGTTGTTCCTGCGTTTTTGTCATGGTTGCCTACACATGAAGATGTGGCGGAGACTCCTCACATATACGGCTATCTTGCTGACCTTATCGAGTCGAATCATCCGGTGGTTCTTGGAGAAGATAATTGCAATTTACCACGAATAGTGTTTATTAGTAAGTTCTTTATTTAGTTTGTTTGATTTGATCTTGCCGGCCGTCCATGACTTATCATGATCTGATTAAGTTGTGTCCGCGTTCAATTTGGAAGCTTTTCCACCGACCGAAGAAGGAGCAGCTGTTGGTCATCGGCTGCGACACATCCTGAAGGTTTTGCACAGTAATTCGGCAATGTTTGAAGCTGTTGTTCAAGCTGCCCAACTTGACGAAAAAAAGAGAAAGACATTGCATGACCTAATTTCTTAATACATTGTTGATGTATATGTTGTTTTGTTTGTATTAATAGAAGGGTTGTTATTGTTAATAGGAAGCTGTCCACGACAACTTGCCTGGTGTGTGTGTGTGTGTGTGTGTATGTGTATGTGTGTGTGTATGTGTGTTTCTGTATGTGTGTGTGTGTGTGTGCGTGAGTGTGTGTGAGTGTGTGTGTGTGTGAGTGTGTGTGTGAGTGTGTGTGTGTGTGTGTGTGTGTGTGTGTGTGTGTGTGTGTGTGTGTGTGTGTGTGTGTGTGTGTGTGTTTCTCCTTCCATAGGAAGGTTTTGTCGTTATGTCAGCTTTGCGATGATTTGTTTGTTTTGACGTCTACTGCTACCCTGTTATGAATACCTGTACTATAAAGATACGCCATGAAATGGAATAGAGACGTAAAGTCGAGCAAATGTTGGAAGTCAATACAAGTAACAGCTACTTGAGAGGTTCAATGACGTAATATCTTGGAACGGGACACTTTTGCATCGACAGGCCTTCGGAAGGGTGATCCGTGCTTCTAATTTGTTATTCCATAGTGAATCCGTTGGTAATCGTACGGATATTTAAACGCATGCATATTTATCTTGATCAAAATGATAAAGTAGTCAATTTATTTTTGGCACATAGTTACTAATAACATGATTATAATGTCTAGTAGGTTTCTGTGCTTATGGGCTATTCGACGTTGAACAACGGTAGCATTCTTTTGTAGCATTCCCGACTAGAGCAGCTCGACGTTTCCTGGCTGAGTCCAATTCCACAGTCCAGTTCACTGTGAAGTTGTAAACTTAGATCTTAATGCAGTTCACTATAATAAACATTGAGTTGTAAGTTAGTTCCCTCACCCACAACTGCAGCGTCTTTTTCGGAGGCGTTCCCCATTACCACAGGTTACAGTGCATGCGGACCACTGGGACCACTTGGTCCATTCGCACTGAAGTTACATCTTTTAAGAAGAGATCGTGTTATATATTGGTTTTAAATATCTATGTACATACCTTTTCAGTTTTAGCTACACTGGTTGACAGAGTTGCCTCGTCTTGAGACATATTAGTATCATGTGTCTGTTTACTTACATTTATGCCCAACTAAATTATATGCTTATAAATCTGAGTAGAACATCACAGCAGCTGTGTATTAAACAGAATGCAGCGAAGTCTACAGAGTACCGTCTTTGTATCATTTTTGCTTAGTTCGTCATCGAGGTTTCTAAGTTGGAGTTCAGCCTCGCGTACAGTTTGGATGGCGCGTTCCATATAGTCACACGATTGTTCTTCGGACGAATGTTCCGTACATTTGCAGTTCTTTGCCATCACTTAAACAAATTTCGATGGTCTTATAAAAATGATGAAAATGTTATTGACAGACGAAGGAATGTAACTAGGTGTTTCTTCATTCGTTGGCATTAATTTTATTGCGCTAGTTTTGCTTACTAGTATTATATTTATGATTGATATTTTTTCGGAGAAGTGGACAATTCATGGACTTTTTTGGCGAGTACCGTTTTGCTCAGAGGTAGTAAGTGCTATGTGAAGCGGAAATTAACACCTACACGACAATATGGGCTCTACGCAAGTCGTACCATGTGAAAATAATGGCTGCTTTCAAATCCAAGTGAACATAATTAGTAATTCTTACTAATTGCAATAAAAGCTATTCGAATCTACAATTTTTTTGCCTACACAATAAAAGTTTACATGCTCGGCTATGATGAAGTTTCAATTTTCTGGATTCCGTGACATATTTTTCTTCCACTTTGTTGTTTCCAAAATTAAATTTTGAACATCAAAGCACATGAACAAGCGGAAAATTTGTCCAGGATAACACCATAGTATTTTCTATTGTATCGTCTATGTTTTCAGCTGCCGTTTCATCGTTGGAAACTTTAGGAACTTAACTTTCGCTATCAATCTCTCTTCAGTTGTAATTGTAAACATATTCAATTTTGAGAGAAGAAAGCCGCATGTGGAATTAATGCGATAGAGGAAAGCAGCCTCATCTATAAATGCACAAAGTTCTGAGCGCCTGAAATACTCTGGTGATCGAGAAATTATTGTCAGTTATCCAGAAACCATCTCTGTCGCTAAACGGTTAAACACACCTATGCAATTTTTCAACACTTTCCTTCTGTGAAACTTCTCTTTCACAGCCGATATAATCAAGTTTACATTGTTTCAGTTTCTGTCCAATTTCCAGCACCTCACCATAAAGTCTTGAATAGCATAACTTTTTCGAGCACAACAAGATGACCGTATAGTCCTTACCATCACTTTCAATACAAGCTCGATTTCGCCGACGAGAATTACTATCGTTACAATGGCTCCATTCGGACCATTTTGACCATCTGCAGTTCTGCAAAGATTCATTCATCATAGCACAAAAAGTTCAGGAATTAATGACTATTACATTGTTGCCTGGTTGCGAACCATAACAAGTAATATGGCTATTATTTTTTTGAGATGACACGATGTTGTTGTAGGTCCAGATCGGCTTATGTTTGAATGCCCTGGCGTCCTTAAGAGCTAGGAGGATCCGATTCATCCACACTTAATCATTTGTCCGTTGTGGGCCTTCCTAGTTGCATCGAAACAAATTCTCTGGCGTGGAGCAACGCCGAATCGACTCGAAACATAGCAGTTCTGAAGAACGCGAAGCTGGCGAAGCGTCAGCCGAATAAGACATAACAACCTCATGTTGGGTAATCGTAGACAACATTGATTGCCACGACCGACTTTCTATTAACCTCGGCATTGATCAAGTGATTTTTTTCGTATTTTTGTTGAGCAAACGCGAGGTGTTACTATTCTTTGTTCACGATTAAGCTGAC